ATTTTGGCCTACACCGCACAGTGCATGGGGAAGCTGGACTATGACATCGTGAAGAAACTAGAGGCCCTGGAGTTCCCAACCCCAATCTCGCAGCTCCCAGAATACTTCTCTCCAGACCCTCCCGGAATCCATCAAGTTATGCCGAACGTCGTTGAAAAGACCGATGAGCAAGTCCAGGAGGAGTCCGTGAGTGTTGTTACTGGAATGTATGGTGATGATGAATGGGAGATGTTTCTCGAGGTTCCAGATGGTGCCGTAAAGATTGGTGACCATGAAGAACATCGGCCACAGGGATCAATAGTGAGAGCAGCCAAGGTTGAAGTGAGTTACACCCCAAACATAGAGCGTGTTCTTGCTGAGCTACGGGGACCACTTAAGGTGACTCATACAGTTGATCCTCGAGAGGTTCAAGAGAATCTCGAGCTGTGGAGAGGTGCCATTGAGAAGGAAGTGAAGAATGTCGAGGTCGCCATCCTCAGGTTGCTTCCGGGCACGCCGGAGCGGGCTATGTGGATCAAACGGCCCAAGGCCCAGAGACTCCCCGCCAAACTGGTTTTCACTGTGAAACCAGGGGACTCACCCGATGAGGCAGATCCTACTACATGGTTCAAGCGCAAAGCGAGGTTAGTTGTCTGCGGGAACTTCGCTCGACCAGACGAGGCCGACCTCTACTCAGAAACACCGCCTACCGAAGTACTACGGGCCGGCTTGACGCTTTCCCGGAGGCGGAAATGGTACGTTGCGATTCTCGATGTGGTTGCGGCCTTTTTACGGGCCCCAATAGGAGACAATGGTAACACCACCGCGTCTCCTACAGAGCCTGGGCTTGATTGTGGAATGTGAGCTGTGGGCATTGATTCGTGCCTTATACGGCTTGCGCCAGGCGCCAGCCCTTTGGTCGTCCTATCGCGACAAGACCTTGGATGCGCTGAGGTTTCCGGGCAATCTATCACTGCGGCGGGGACGCACTGTAACTGCATGGTGGGTTCTGCAAGATGAGTCTGGAGCGGTGTCAGCAGTAATTATCATATACGTTGATGACATAATGCTGATTGGACCAGAGGCAACTGTGAGAACTCTTTCCGATGCGATCCAGGCCCTGTGGAAGACCTCACCGCTGACGTTTCTTACTCCAAGGAATCCTATTCGGTTTTTGGGTATGGAGCTTGAGCTAAGTGAAGACCTCAGCACTGTGTATGTGAACCAGACGGCCTACATTGAGGAGGTCCTGCGTGCCTACCAGGTGCCGGAAGAGCACAGAGACAAGATCCCCATAAGCAAGGAGCTGGCGAACTTTGAGGTGGGTCCCGATGACGTTCCCCCGACTGTAGAGGATGTGGCAGCAGCTCAAAAGCTAACGGGGGAATTGATGTGGATAGCCCAGAAGTCAAGACCGGATATATCATTTACGTGCTCTACGTTGGCTTCCTTGTCTACAAAGGCACCTTCACGATGTTTGACTGTGGGAGAGAAAACACTCCGCTACCTGCAGGGAACTAAAACCTGGAGGATGAAGTTCACATGTGGTGATTCGGAGTTGGTCCTCTACCCGGACGCGGCCTTTGCACCAAGTTCGGGCCGATCTCACAGTGGCTGGGTTATCATGTGGTCAGGATCGGCAATAGCATGGAGGAGTGCCCGACAGTCGACCATAGCCCTTAGCACCGCCGAGTCCGAGTTGCTGGCGATATTGGAAGGATCTGTTGGTATGATGGGAATCGAAGCTCTTCTCTATGATGTGAAGGAGGGCCCTCTCTCCAAAACGATTGCGAGTGACAGCACGAGCGCTTTGTCGATCAGCAGTGGGACGGGTTCGTGGAGAACGAGGCATCTGCGACTAAAGGCGGGATGGATTCAGGAAATGCTCCAGACGGGAGCCATGACTGTTCGTCACCAGCCAAGCATAACCCAGCCTGCAGATATGCTGACGAAAGCACTGGCCTCGCAGCGCTTGAAGGCTCTGATGAGTTTATGGGGCATGGAGGAGAAAGAAGTGAAGATCAGGCGTGTCAGCCCAGGACTTCCTGGACTCCCTTCGACCAAGATCGTGTTGGCCCTTGTGTGTTGCCTGATGATGCTAACAGTCGAGGCGAGCGAGGTGGGACCAAGGCCAATTCAGGTGGATCTGGACTTACTGGGAGTTTCAATGGTGATGTTGATGATTCTGGGATGCTTGGTCATTTGGGAAGGGCTGAAGTGGTTGTTCTTTGAAGTGGGACGAGAGCTTCTTCCTGGAGCTTCAGAGCGGAAACTACGACGACTACGGAAACTGCGAGATGCAACCTCAATGGCCATTGAGCGTGAGTCGCGTAAGTTAACCCGGATTGGAGAAGGACGGGAAGAGCCGCGAGTCCATTCGCAGCCCTCAACCACTTCCAGTGGACGGGCTGAGGTTGCAACACCAGTCGTTGACCGTGAACCAGTTCTGAACCCACAACCGAGTACTTCAGCATCCTCCTCACGAATGTTGACTCCTCCTCCGCCTACAAGAACGAGGGATCAGAGACCTACGTTTTCACCGCAGAGTTCACCAGGGCGACCCTACACGGCGGAAGGTCTAAGTGAAGTCCAAAGGGTATGCCGAGACGTGGCTGCGCTGATGAGATGTGAAGAGCTACGCGAAGCTCTGCGAATGCACAACCTCCAAACATCAGGCCTTAAGGCTGATCTATGTGTGAGACTTGGATCAGTAATGTCTGAGCGCTGTGGACAAAGTGATGCCCCTACTGTCCGACAATATCGCTACCTGTTGTGGCTATGGAGACATCATGATCTCCAAGGCCCAGTGTTGCTGCATTGGGCTTCAATGTCAAATCGTGAAGCCACCTCAAGGACTATTGAACCAGCTGTAGGACGAATGCTGTACTCGCCTCACGGAGAGACAGAGGAGGAGTGCAGATGAGCAGACAGCTGGTCATGTGTGCAGATGCTGGCGCATGGCGGCTTAAGGGAAGCTACGGAACATCACCCTTGGGCTGCAGTAGCATAGCACACCAACGTCTTTTACGAAGCCTGTAAGAGCTTCTTAATTAGAGGGAAACAGTCACGCACACCATGTACAACTTTCAGTGTGCAGACCTCTGAAGTATGCAAGCACAGTCGTTTGTTCGCGGAAAAAGAGAGATCGAAGCATGCCCATCGTTTGAATCATGGCTGCTGTAAATTCGACGGATGCCATCGGGCATCAACAGGTTTAGGGTCTAGGGTCGAGCTGTAGCGGAACAGGAGGAGCCTCGAGTTCCTGGGGTGTAACCAAGCAAGTCACACCCAAAATCTGCATTCCTGCGGTGTTGGGAGCAGCATCTGGCCAGAGATAAACGTAGGCACAGAGGTATCTGGCTCCCAAGTAAGGCTTCAGGCTAGCATCCTGCATCCTGCTTGCGTGATTCGTGCAGTAAGCCGCTGTTCAGAAAAGGGATCGTCAAGACGGGCGGCCCCTTTCCGGACGTACTCCAAACAGCTTGCTGGGTGCCAATGGATGAATTGTGGGTTTCAGAAGTAAAGGGCCTTTATACAAAGGCTCTTGCCAAAATGATGGGATCCTTCGGTACTGAGAGCCCCTGAACTGGCGGAACCCCAGGCTTGAATCCTGGTGGCATTTCTTTGGGACGGCGCAGAAACTTCTAAATTATATGCCTTACGGTAAGGAGCCGTAAGTGGGCTATCAAGATAATTTAGGGGGGCGTAGCAAGACTGATTTCCTTCGAGATCCGCTTTTCTCGGCAGGATGTCGGGGCTTTCTGGATGTTTCGTCGAAGAACCTTCAAACTCCGAAGGATCTTCCTGAGCGATAGAAGGCCAACCACGGTTTAGGGTTTAGGACTTAGGGTTTAGGGTTCGGTGACTATGTCTCCGTTCCACTGAGCACGCAAGCAACAATACTTTTGCAACTCCCTAGCCAGCCCAAAAGCAACTCAACACAGTAACTACTAAAATCAAAAAAGGTAGGCGATCTTGGACTAGCTTTGGGGTTTTACTATAGAGGCCTTAATAATTAGAATAGGGTCTTGGGGCCCAGTATACTACAATTATCATAAGGAATCCCCAAGAACCCCATTCTAATTAAGGCGACCCGTACACTAAACCCTTCTAGTAGCCCTCATACCTTATAAACCCTTTCAACGGAGCCCTTTAAAGGAACCCTGTTCGAATTATTTTGGCCCCTATAGTAGGCGGCCGCCCTCCTGAAGTCTTGGATGTCGTAAACGCGCCTAAACTTACCTTTGGTTAGTAGGGAATGGGAGAATGGGGTACCATTTTAACTACTATTACTACCATGCTTCCATTCCCTACTAACCAACGGTAAGTAAACCTGCGGACGCCGGATGAAGGGCTCACGACATGGGAGTTTCCGACAATTAGGGAAGTACCTTTAAAGGGATCCTTTAAGAGTTCCTTAAAGGGATCGAAACGGGTTCTATAAAGGGTTTAGTTTAGGGCGTAGAATTTCCGAAACTTAGGGGTACCTTATTTTGGGGTCCTTATAAGAAGGATCCTACTATTTAGGGTCCTATATTAGGATCCCCTATATTCGGAAACTCCCACATGACTTACTTGTCCAGTATTCTGCAAGAACTCGAGGTTGACTTTTGGGATTATATGGGTTCGTTGTACTCCCCAACAGAGGTTAAAGGTTACGTACTCTACTACTCATGCAACTCTCAGCTCTGGGAAGCCTTGAGTGGCTCCGCTCTCCTCCTATCAACCTTGCAGTCCCCCCCCCAAACCCCAAGCGCTAAAACCACAACCTCCCAAACCCTACGTCAACCACCCTTAAACGAACGCTTTTAGGTCTTCTCATGTCGGTTTCTATCTATCTATCTGCCTATCTGTCTACCTGTCTATCTATCTATCTGTATATATATATATATATATACATATATATATATATATATATATATATATATATATACTTACATACATATGTATTTACCCTGAAAATATAGGTTATGTGTGCTTCTCGTGAACCAAGAACCTTTCGCACATTTCGGGGCTCCTGCCGAGTTGTAGCTCTCTGCAGAGGGAAGAATGCGCCGACTTCTCATTTCTTCCTGAATATCATATTATCTCATATCATATAGCAATAAAATACAATAAGACAACAGGAAAAACATCAAACATAACATGATAGGATACATTAGAGTTTGCGATATTGTAGTACTGGTCTAGTCTAATATGGAAAATAGGTTGGAAGAGTTTGAAGGGTGTAGGAGTGCACTGGCGGGGAGTTCGGGCTAAAGCAGACCTACAGTGCGTTCGTCAACGGGATCTCCGATATCGGGTTGAAGCTAACAGGGACCTTCGCCAATGGCCGAGTCTCTTTCGCAGCGTGTGTCGCTATGTTGCATTCATCCTTACTGCTGCTGCTCCAGTTTCCGATTGAGAAGCACTTCATCGCATATGGGGGGTTGTCAAAATTATGGTCCTTCTTGGGTCCCTATTATAATACGGCACCTATTATTTAGGGTACCCAAAAAGGGACCCCAATTTTGACAACCACCCATGTGTTTCCATGCAGAACCGCAGCCTCTGTAATCTGAAACCTATGCCGATACCCCGAACCCACCCGAAACCTTGAGGGGGCAGTATCGGGGCCTTAAAATTCTATTTCGTTCCTGAGGGTTCGCTACTATAATTAATTACGACAATAATTACAGCACAGGATACCCGTCTAACCCCAAACCCTACTCTCATTCGTAAGGCCCCTGTCTTTAGGCTTCAAGTCTGCGTCAGTTTGGTGAACCCGAAAGCCAAACAACGCACACCCAAGAGCCGGAAAACCAGCCCAGGACCCGATATGGGAGTTCCCGAAGATAGGGGTACCTTATTCTGGGGTCCTTATGATAAGGATCCTACTATTTAGGGTGCTATATTAGGGTCCCCTATTTTCGGAAACTCCCATATTCGAACGGAGGGGTTATAAGGGCTTGGGGTACCCTGAAACTTTCAACCATAAATCCCAAACCCGTTTGGAGTATATGATACTGTATTTCTACACTATAGAACCTGCAAGAAGTCTATAAAACACTACGACTATTATTACTACTACTACTACTACTACTACTACTACTACTACTACTACTACTACTACTACTACTACTACTACTACTACTACTACTACTACTATTCTGACCTCCACATCAGCATAACTAGGTTCCCCAGTGCCCCCTTACCCTTTTCCTGGTATTCAGTTTTGATATGGGAACCCCACGGTGAAGGTTAAGATGGTACGAAAAGGTTAAGAGGGTACTACTGGGGAACCTAACCCTGAACCTTTAAATAGAGAATAACTGCATGTAAGTCTCAAGCCACTGAGAGGCTTCCGAGCCCTGCCCACTCTTGGAGGAGGCGTCGATCAAGATGTTCCTTTGGGGCTTCAGGGGGCCGAGATAATCAATGCTCGAAAATTTCTGTACTGCAAGACGCTCATGTGACTGTTTTACTGTGGCTGCATTTATGTATTGAGTAGCCAGAAAACCGTGAACTCGCCTAAACCATAGAACTCTGGTTGTAACTTTGTAACTATATCTTTTTTGCCCCACACCCTCAGCCTCCCAAGGCCCTAGGAACAGCAAACTTTGGGTACTGCCCTCTTACAGTAAGAGTAAGAGTCTATAATAGGGCTGCTACTGGGGTCCCAATATATCTATACTCTGAATATTATTCAACTATTACCGCATTGGGGCAATTTAAGCTGGAGCCTCCCTAAGCCCTACGGTTGATGATATAAATCCTGCATTACCCACAATAAGGAATATACCATAATCAACCGTAGGAACAGCAAGCTGGCATGGCCGAGCATCATCGCCACTTGATTGACTTCGAGCTCGCTTTCTCCGCGGGCCTCGGGACAAGGAAGCCTCAAACTCTCTAGATCCCTAAAGCCTAAAGGCTTAAACCCTAACCCCTAAACCTTAAACCCTAAACCCTAACCCCTGAACCTTAAACCCGAAACCCTAACCCCTGAACCTTAAACCCTAAACCCTAACCCCTAAACCTTAAACCCTAAACCTTAACCCCTGAACCTTAAACCCGAAACCTTCAAAACTAAAGCCTGAACCCCTAAACCCCAAACTACATCGAATGGGGGGCCCTGGGACCCAACAGCGCTAACTAAGCCGAAGCCCTACAGGGAACTCCAGAAAGTTGGAATATGGTTTCAGGGTAGGATACACTATAGTTTACCATAGCAGGGTTAGGATGATCATATTCCAACTTTCTGGCTTTTACCTTAAAACTAAAACGCCCTAGAGCCCAAACACCCAAAGCTGTATACAGACTCAACAGCCCTCCCCAAGATCCGAAGCCTCCACAGTTCCGGGCTTCTGGTTTATGGTTGGGATAGGATTGAAAATAGAGTTTAGGGTTTAGGATTTAGGGTTTAGGGTTTAGGATTTAGGGTTTAGGGTTTAGGGTTTAGGGTTTTTCCTTATTGGGTTTAAGCACCTATAAAAACGCAAAGAATTACCCAACTATGATCAAGGCTTATAGAAACACTAAGAAGAACACCCATCCTTCTAATCCCGCAGCAGCACCTGATCGAACCCATAGCGAAATTCTGAGAAAAGCTCTGCACTACAGCACCCTGACACATTAATCCTGAAGCACAGACAGAAGAAAGCCTTAAAGCAACAAAACCCGAGACCCAGAAGTTAAAAACCCACCCTAAACCCGAAACCCTAAACCCCTAAACCCTAGACCCCTAAAACCCCATGCATGAAGCCCAAAAAGCACCCCCAATAGTAGATACATATTAGATACTTAGGCCATAAGGTACCTATATATATAGAAACTCCTTCAAGGCCATTATTTTGCTTCGAACATCCCCAAAGTCCCCTGCCCCTGTGGCGTCCTCGACCCACTGCGCCGCGGACTTCAGGTCTCCGGCTTTGGCGGCGGCCTTGGAGAGCTTCCCAAAGGTCTCCTGCACAAAGGGCTCCAAGGGGGCTTCGGGGTTTGGGGTTTAAGGGTTTAGGGGCTTCGGGGTTTAGGGAGTTTAGCCCTATAACCCCCAATATATTAGGATTCAAAAAAGGAACCCTAACAAGGACCCAGGGTTTCTTAATCAGGTTCCTACATTAAACGTTATAGGGCTTCCCAAGAGTCTCCTGCAGATTGGGGCTCAAAGGGGCTTCGGGGCTTAGGGCTTCGGGTTTAAGGGTTAGGGTTTAGGGGTTTAGGGCTTAGGGCTTAGGGGTTTTGGGGTTTAGGGTTTATGGCTTCGGGCTTGGGCCTGCAGTTGGGGCTCAATGTTTAAAGGACTTGTGGAAGGTGTAAACTTGGAGGCTCATGGGTAGTTGTAAGACATTATAAGTGGGGTTATACGTCCCCTAATATGGGTTATAAGTATAGATACCCTCCTTTACAACCCCACTTATAACCAGCCATGAACCTCCAAGCAGGAATTATAGTTCGGGGCTCCGGGCTTCGGGGTGTAGGGTTTGAGGCTTAAGGTAGGACCGGTACGGCTGATGATGGTAAATCCTGCATTACCTTAAGGACCCTAGACTACGGGAATTATGGTATATTCCTTATTGTGGGTAAGGCGGGATTTATATCGTCAGCAGTAGCACTACGATGGCTACGGAGACGCGACCATGACGAGACCAAAACAAGGGAAGATAGTCAAGACGACATCGACACTCGCCAACCGTGCTACTCTTTGCTTTATTTGTGGAGAGCCAGCTGGGTGGTTGTCAAAATGAAGGTCCCTGTTTGGGTATCCTAAATAATAGGTGCCGTACTATAATAGGGACCCAAAAAGGGGCCATAGTTTTGACAACCACCCAGCTCGATTGTTGCTCAGATTTCGGAGCTTCAGCTGGAAGGCCCGAGTCTCAACATCGTTTCACCTCGTTTAGGGGCCCTGTGCATCCAACCCTGTCAGCCCGATTTCATCCTATACCCCTAAACCCTAAACCCTATAGACCCTTTAAAGGATACAATCAACAATCGATGTACATAATGTAGGGGCCGTAATAATGAGAATCGGGTTTTGGGGCCCATTATACTATACTTTTTACAAGGAACCCACAAGAAAGTATTGGCGATTATTTGGGCCCATATAGTACTTGCGATTTGGGGCCCTTCCCCGCCAAACCACCCTCCAGCCTTGTTCGGAAGCAACCCTGCGGCAAGCAAACGGCCGTACCATCGTTCGGCCTGCTGTCTGTCAAAGGGGAAAAGGAGGGACCCTTAATGGGTACCCTTTAAAGGGATCTATAGGGATTCTATAAGGGTATAGGCTGTATAGGCTTTAAGGTTTAGGGGTTTAGGGGGTTTAGGGGAAAAGGAGGGGCCCTTAATGGGGACCCCTAGCCTACAATGGGCTATATAATGGATATATAATGGCTATATTAAGGGTATATATAGCTAGGGGTCCTTACTAAGGGTCCCTGCTTTTACCCTTGCAGTCTGAAATCTTGAAGCCATGGTCCGTTATAGGCCTTAGGGGCGGGTCGCTTACCGTTAGGACTCTCTTCCTCATAGAACCCTTATAGAGCCCTTAAGGGAAGACATTTAAGGAACCACAAAGGTTCTAAAGTTACGAAGGTTACGAGAGGCTTGGAGGACTCAGGTCGTCAGGCTTTGGAGATTCGGGGTGTAAGGTTTAGGGTTTAGGGTTTAGGGTCTACGGTGATGCTGTGATCTGCAACGCTAGTGACCCGCCAGTACTGCCTTCAACATGGAGCTTGCAAAGACTTGTAATACGACTCGCATGCGATTCGGATGCAAAGGACGACTGCATACCCTTAACCCCTCTTAGCAACCATCAGCAAGAGTGAGGCTCTCACAGCAGCGGAATCCGAAGCCGTGCTCCAAGTAAAACAGATATCAAAACCCAGACCGACCCCCCGATTCAAAGTAGGGTCTGTCGAAATCTTAGTATGCTTTCTCAAACCCTCACAATCCAAACCCCAATAAAATTGAACCTAAACCCTAAACTCTAAACCCCTAAACTCTCACAAGCCTTAAACACCTGAACCGTAAACCCCTAAACCCTTGAAACCCTTCAAACGCTAAACCCTAAACCTGTAAGCCCTTAACCCTGTAAATCCCTTGTGGGAACCCTTAAAGGAAACCTAAACCTATAAGCCCCTGTAAAGGAACCCTAAACCCTCAGGAGGCCGTTAGAGCCCTTCGAGATGGCTCCTCGATGAGGTCGGCCGCGTTGGCGCAAGCCTTGATAACCTTCCAGGGACTCCAATAATGAGAGTTTTGGGTTAGTTGCTGAGTTATAGCCCGTTATAGGGTAGGGGTCCCCATTAAGGGTCCCTCCTTTTTCCCCTTTGATTGATGCTTAGGAAGAAGCCTTCAGGGCTCTGTAGAAGTCTTCGGGAGTCTTCGGGGCTGTGAACAGCCCTAAAGCTGGCAGGTATTCTTGCTGTTCGAACAAAAACGCTTGCGATGATTATGGAATTTGCGTTATGAGTCTTACTGTTATTCTTGTTATTGTAGATATTGAACTTTAGACCTCACAGCAGTGACTGTTTGTATGCTTGGAGCCTCGTGTTGGATTTCGGATTGTCTTTGGCTCAGGCTGAGGCGTGCTGTGTTGCCACGGGCTCGGCCGGGGATACTAAGAACCCTGAAACCCCACCCTAATTAAATAATCCAGGAGAGAGACTGAAACATGAATATCTGACGAAGGTAGAGTGCAAAGGATCACTGCATCGACAAATCCTCTGAATATCTGAAAGGCAAATATCCGTTTCCTGGGCAAGGGTGCCACAGCCTAACTTACGCGGCTTTCTAGTTTCCATCTATATGGCCTTGTGCATCCATCTTTACGCACTCTAAACCCTAAACCCTGAATCCAAAACCCTAGCCCTAAACCCTTAGAACCCTTTGAACCGATGGAAACCCTTAGACTAAAAAAACCCTAAACCACAAAGCCTAAGCCTAAACCTGTAGCAATGCATCCAGACCACGGTATTGAAGGTCAAGCGCATCAGGTTCTCCGGCACCTTGGAAGAGGTCGAGAGTTCAGGGATTGGGGCTGTGGATTTAGGCTTTATGGTTCAGGGTTTAGGGGTTTAGGGTTTGCCGTAAAATGGCGCGTGGGCAATATTATCTTGCGACAAGGTTGCGTCGAGTGCATCGTACTGCGTGAAAGCCTGTATGGCTTTTCCTTTCATTTCTTTCGCAGCCCACGCCGTGTGAGGCAGCCAAGCCACACAAACCTATTCCTTCTAGGCTTTAGCCCTAAACTCCTTCATGCCTTCCGTTTATGAGGCAGGGGAGAGCAGGGTGAGGGATGGTGAGGGCAGGGCAGGGCAGGGGGGCAGGGGCAGGCCTTCTGCTCGCTGGAAGCCCAGTTGGAGGTCCAGGGCGTGGAGCTTGGGATGTAGGTACTTGGATGGTCGGGGGACTTAGTAACTGGTTATTCTGGGGACTTATAAGTACCATAACCCCAATTAGGGTCCTTTTAGGGTACTTATAAGTCTACTTACTACCTACATACTAAGTCCCCCGACCCTCCAAGTAATGACTTTACCAGGAGAACGTGTTCAGGTACCGGGTACGATGTGGGCGCTACAGTCCCACGGAGAGGAGGCTTAAGCGCCGCCCAGCCACGAAGGTGGGCGGCCTAGGCCTTGAGTTAAGGATTCAGGGTTTAGGATTTAGGGCTTAGGATCTGGGGTTTAGAGCTTGCGGTTTGCAGTCTAATGTTTCGGCTTGAGGGTTGCGGACCATGGCGTAACACGAGCAGCTTTGAAACTAGGTGCCTTCAAAGAGAACCCAGGGGGGACCCCGATGCATCACCCGTCACGTCTTCAACGACCAACGACCAATCCAGCTTAGACCTCCAGGCCTGATTAGGGCGTGGGGTTGAGGGTTCAGGGGTTCAGGGGTTTAGGGTTTAGGGAGAGACGGGATCTACCCTTGAAGGTGACCTGACGTGATAACTTTGAGCAATCAGGGTTTTGACCCTTGCGGGATTTGCAACCGAGCTTCATCACGCCATGGAGGGTTTAGGGTTTAGGATGGGCCCACGGAAACTGCGCCGCATTGCTTCGACTGTGAGCATGATCGAACAACTTATTCCCCCATGCTGCCCAGGGTCTGAGAAACCTTAACCAAATCCAAGCTGTCGGGCTGAACCCAGAGACTCCAATATCCCTTAATTAAGGAATATACCTTAAATTATAGTAGGATCCCTAATATGATTTAAGGTATATTCCTTAATTAGAGGATATTGGCAATGATATTGGAGTCTCTGGGAACCCCAAAAGGCCTGCCTTTTCAAGGACTTTTGTCAAACAATCAGAAGACAGAGTTCTAGAGACTTCGAGGTAGTTTGGCGTTTACAGTTTAGGTAGGGGCTGTACTCCAACCTCCCTCAACCCCAAACTCTGAACCGCAAAAGCCTTAAGTCCTCAAAAGCCCCAAAGAAATGAAGTCCTGAACAACAAAGCCCTATAAGTCTTACAAACAAGAGCCAGACACACACGGCCTGTAAGGCCTGTAAAACTTACCTCCTCAGCCCTGAAACTCCTATAAACTTTTGGCTCTCTAAACCGCAAGCCCTAAAAACTTACCTTTGGGAATGGAGGAATGGGGTACAAGTATAGCTACTGTTACTACCATTCTTCCATTCCCTACTAACCAAAGGTATATAAGAAAAACCTCAAACACCAGAGTCGGGCGGCTTGTGGCCGGATCTCCTCGAAAATGGCCGCTGCAGTCTCCACGTCGCCCGCGATGGCCGCAGCATCGAGCTGAGAGGGTGCTCTGAAGGTTTACTTGGAGGTTCATTGGTAGTTATAAGTAGGGTTCCTTTAAAGGGATCTATAGGGTAGGATTATAGGGTTTAGGGGTAGTTATAAGTAGGGTTATAAGTAGGGCAACTATACTTATAACCCATATTCGGGACTTATAACCATACTTATAACTCCCATGAACCTCCAATTAGGGTAAAGGCTAAACCCTAAACCCTGAACTGTAAATCGTAAACTCTGAACTCTAAACCCGAAACTCCGAACCCTAAACTCTAAACCCTGAACTCTAAGCCCTACATCCTAAACCCTAAAACCCTTGCTTTGTTTTGCCTGTGCGGGCCTTTTGCTGCTCGGCAGGCATTTTAGGCTCCAGGCGCTAAGCTGCTTTGCTTAGGGGCCGTTTTCCGTCCGCCGGGTTGGCGATCAAGGGCTCAGGGTATGGGATCTGCAGCTTGTAGTTCTTGTAAAGTGTAGTATAGTAAAAGAGGTCTGAACAACTAGACACATGTTTTCCTTTGCAGCCTTTCTCCGAGTATTCTACTGAATATATAAACCCCATAACCCTATGTCGCCATATATACGGCCCCTATATCGTAGACCCATCAATCAGATCTCCACCGACAAGCACACTTTTTTCGACCCCACTCTAAATTCCAACAATGATCAGAACCCAAACTCGTTGGTGCTTGAAGGGATTGTTTTGGGCGGTTTAGGTTTCAGGGTTTAGGGCGGGTTTTGTCTGGATTTTTGTCTGACTAAGAGGCAACGAAACTTGGAGGTTCATGAGTAGTTATAAGTGGGGTTATGAGTAGGGTAACTATAGCTATAACATCTACTAGGGGACGTATAACCCCGCTTATAACTACCCATGAACCTCCAAGAAGACGAGTGTCCATTGCCTTTGTGATGAGAGCTTCGTCCGGCCCGCGTCTCTCTGCGGGTTTGTTGGGGATTGAACAAGTATTTAATTGCCTAAACCCTAGAAAACCCACCCCTAGAGTTTCAGAATATAGTTTCCTTACATGCATCCTCAGTTTAAGAGGTAGGTTATGTGGGCGCTCGGGTATTCTGGGTTTGAAGGATTAGCCGATGGGCCGAGAAGGGAAGCCTGCCCACTATTTAAGGACGATCCACTACGCACAGCTTCTTCACTTAAAGGCTTAAAGGCTTATGGAACTCGGCAAGTGGGTTTATATCCAAATAAATGGAATTTGCTTATTGGAAACTACAAAGCCACACTCGGGTCCCCAACCGTGAACCCCTACCCGTAGGGCCAAGGTTCGAGATCAGAACGCCTCAAGGTTTGAGTTTAGGGTTTAAGGTCCAGGGTAAAGTAGGGCTCAAGGTTTGGTCCAAGGGATCAGCCAGCAGGTTCCCTGTACACCCTATAAACCTTAAAACCCAGTAGGTTATGCGTATAGTAGCCCTAGACCCTAAAGTACAATACCCTCTTTGCTCTAACCTGCTTTATGGTTCGAATCCTAAATGAACCAGAAGCACTGCCAGAAGGGGGGGCTCTAGGTGTACCTCAAAAGTGTTGCTCAGGATCAGAGCATGCAAACCCCAAACCTTAAACCCGAAACCGCAAGCCCTGAACCCTAAAACCCGACCTCCAAACCCCGAAAGCCACAAACCCCAAAAGACTGGAGCCCCCTTAAACCCTAAACCCTAACTACAAACCCTAAGCCCTAAACCCTAAACCCTGACCCTAAACCCTAAACCCTAAGCCCTAAGCCCTAAACCCTGACCCTAAACCCTAAACCCTAAGCCCTAAACCCTAAACCCTAAACCCTTGAGCTCAGACCCAGCGGCATCGCCGTACTTCGACAGCAACTTCAAGTTCGCCCCCGGCAAGTTGTGGGGGCGGGGCCGACGCTTCTTACCTGTGCTTTCAATCTTCAGCAGTTTGGGGTTTAGGGTTTGACGTTTAGGGTATAGGGTTTAGGGTTTAGGGTTTGAGGGTGGTTCAGGAGTTTCGGGGTGGGAGTAGACTTCAACCGCTTGGTAGGGTCTACGAGCTCGGAATTCAGGGTTGATTGCGCGAACCAAAGATCCTAGGTCCCAGACCCTCTAAACATCAAGCAAAACACGCAAAAGAACCCAAACCATGAAACAGGCTACCCAGCTCACAAACATCGACACCATGCAACGAAGCACATCAATTCCAAAACACCGACATTTGACTCAATTTATAAACCCTAGACCCTGAAAGCCCTTAACTAAACCCTAGACAAATCCCTGAACCCCAAACCCCTAAACCCCAAACAGTTACGTTAATGATCAGAGGCCAGGTGCCCTTTCTGGTTGGAGGCAAAGGCTGAGAGAGACCTTGGTCGGATAAGGGATTAGGGCTTACGGTGGCCAGGGATGGGTTGAGGATTTACGGTGGAGGGGAGGGTCTCGTTTAGTGTTTAGGGTTTAGGGTTTGGGGTTTGGGGTTTAGGGTTTTGGGTTTGGGGTTTAGGGTTTAGGGTGTAGGGGTTCAGGGTTTAGAGAGTTCTTGCAAGGGTTGTGGGATGTAATGACGGTGTTCATAACCATTGGGTCCAGGGTGTCTGCATAAGGTGTGTGTATGTTGAAAACAAAACCATAGCATTGGTTTCTGCGTTTCGGAGAATGCTCCTTGTTAGTTGAGGTGGATCTCGAATTTTTCTGAGCTTCATGGAGGGTCGAATGTGGTTTGCTTGGGCTGTGTCCGGTCCCTTTTATGGCTCCCTGCAACTGCAAGGCCTATAAAGGAATGACTGATGGCTCCTTCTGGGATAGAGCCCGTGGTATGGTATGCAAATACTAGTGAACCCTGAATATTTGGTAATACTGTTCATCAGGGTTCCATGTTATACGTACACTATGGTATAACCCAGATACCAGTTGGATCCACAGGCAGGGCGGGTTGCAAACCAGGCCAGAAACAGTCTCATCACAGGGGAGTTTAAGGGTTCAGTGTTTAGGGTAGCAGCAGCATGAAATAGTACGTAATGTTGGCATGGTACCAGTACGCTCTCAACCCCATAGCCTAGACCATGTGGAACACACCATCAAAGTAACCCGCACAGGCCCACAGGCCCCGGTTTTGACACAAGCCATCGAAGGAGACACCGCATAAAAGGACAGGATTCAATGGGTGTTTTGCTCGTGGCTGTCTGGCCCCTGAACATGCATGATGTCAAGTCACACAGACTAAACTACACAACTCTTGTTCTTCTTCAACGCGCTTGCAATTTTGACCAAAATACAGCAGCTAGGGTTTCAAGTTCAGTTAAGACCTTGCAATCACGACCCACCGGGTTCCAGTATCGACTTGTCAATTCATATACGCTCCAAATGGAAACCACGCCAGTGTTCTCCCAAGCCCGACTAGCCAAGGCAGCTAAATTTTTGGCATCTTAACCATAGCACTGTAAACCCAACCCTGACAACGTGAATCGAGGATCTATGCTTGGCTGAAGCCGATCTGCCCAAGGACGCGGGTCCACACCAAAACACATAACGCCCGAAACCCAGGCGGCCCCCAACACCTCAACTCCACACCCTTAACTTCCCGAGCGGCCCACCCTAAACCCTGAACCATCTTGTGAAGTGGATCTTGAAACTCCCCAAGCCCTAAACCATCTTGTAAAGTGGATCTTGGAAGCCCTGCTGACACCACGTCGCTGCTGTCGGCATCGCTGCGCCGCGGCGCTGACTGCGGCGGAGATCACCAGCGGTGCCCCTCGCCGGGCCTGTGGTCTATCAGGGTGGTTGTCAAAATTATGGTCCCTTTTTGGGTACCCTAAATATGAGGTGCCGTATTAGAATAAAGACCCAAAAACGGACCATAATTTTGACAACTACCCAAGAAGTTTAGGGTTAAAGGTTTCAGGCTTAGGGCTTACAAATTGAGCTTTCGGCATAGTCTCCACTGTAGCTCCGGCTTAAGCAATCAATCTTTGCCCGGAAAGCTAAGCCAAACAAGGAACTGCAATGGAGACTTAGGTGTGGTTTGTAAGGGTGTGCACGCCTTGTAAAGGGCGTACGGTCTGTAAAGGGGCTCAGGGTGAGCTGTCGGCCGATTTCGGTGTTCCCTTCATTTTGACGGCTCCGACGGTCAGAATCTGTTTTAAAGATGGCTGCTGCAAAAGGAGCTTTGCGACAAATTCCATGCGTGTCGCGGTTTTGCCGGCGGCCGCCCCTAAATTCGGCGGCTCAAGCGGCAAAATTGGAGGGGTGATTTTCTATTACCAAAATTCTGCTTATAAAATGTTCCACCGCCTCATTTCGACGGCTGCGACGGCCAGAATCACGGAAAATCCACCTTCAAAGTGCTTGCTGGAAAAGGAGCGTGTACGGCAAATTCAACGGTTTTCGTGCACACAGTGCACACGCCAACGATCAATACCTTTTAAGACACAGCCTGAGGGCTGCAAGAAACCATGCGCCACGAAGCACTGAAGTTGAGGGTCTAGGGTTTAGGGTTTGGGATTCAAGGGCTTAGGGTTTAAGGGTTTAGGGTTTGGACATTTAGGGCTTAAGAGTTGCATGCGCGATTCAGGGGTGAGAATGCTTCGGTTCTAGGCGCTTGGCGCTCCTGGATGTGAATCATAAGACCCGAAACTCCCGCCCCCTAACCCCTAGACGGCCCTAAACCCAAACCCTAAACCCTAAAGCCTTAAACCTCAACAATTACCAATAGTATTCCTTAGGGTTCCTTACTATACTTATACTACAAAGGGGCCCCAAGCCCTATTCTAACTATGAAGGCCCCTACAGCCAGGCCCAAGCCCTGAACCTTGAAGCCCCTAGCCCTGAACGAAACAGACACCTAGTCCCAGGCTTCCAGAAGGACTACTCAAGGGATCCTTCGGACTTCGAAGGTAGGGTATAGAAATGAGGCAGCTAGATGTGGGAGTTTCCGAAAATAGGGACCCTAATATAGTACCTCAAATAGTAGGATCCTTATTATAAGAGCCCAAAATAAGGTGCCCCTAATTTTCGGAACCTCCGGTGTCTTCCTGTAACTTAAACCATTACTGATGACGTATAATCAATCCCTCGCAGCTTGCACTTGGCTCTCCCAACACATCTTAAGTCCCCAAAATGAAAGGACCTCAACCCAAGAAAATCACAAAGCCCTGAACCCGGGAACCCGGCATCCCGCTCATGCACTTGCTTCAATCGTGGTAGGCGCGCGGCACGCGCAGAAGTCTTGTCAGGGAAAACCTGCGGGAAGTTGGGGCAAAGCGCTGTAGGGTCTAGGGCTTAGGAGGTTTAGGGTCAGCACTTCTCGCATGGCAAGAACGATGCTATACCTCTTCAGTTCAAGACGAGCCTCAACCCCGGCTTTGATGTTTATGCTGTGCTACAAAGCTGTCCTAAAGCCCTAAAACTGCTGATGTAGGACGAGGGCCCGATATCAGCCTAAGGCCGAGCGCTGAAAGGTTGCCTACCCAACGGCTCTTGGTTGAAATGGTTTGGTTTAGGGTTTAGGTTTTTTGGCTTAGGGTGTTGGTCAAGGGGCTTGAAGGATGTCTTAGGTATTCGGGCTTCTGCGCTTGATGTTTCTACAGTTTAGGGCTTAGGGTTTAGGGTTTAGGTTTAAAGGTTGGATTGTGGGGCTTTGCAGGTTGCACCTTCAGGCATCAGACCCGAAAACCCACACCTTGAGCTGGAATCCTAAACTTCTAGTGCCCAAACCAGACCTTAAATCCTGACCCTTGAACCTCAGGAACCCAGAAGAGCTCAGTGGGTATCTTACGGGTTAGTAGCCCTGCTGCATTCGATTTTCCACTTTTGCTGGACCCTTTGGACCCTCAAAAAAGCCAGCTTCATAAACCACTTTTGGAGCTCTTATAGAACCCCTAAACACTAAATCCCCTTTAGAGCTTAGAGATTGTAGAACCCCTAAACCCTTAACCCCGTTTCAACCCACACCCCAAACCCCAAACCCCTTGTAGAGCTCTGAAAGAATCCCTAAAGCCCTAAACCCTGAACCCCCTTTAGAGCTCTGAAAGAATCCCCAAACCCCAGAACCGAAACCTCCTTTCAAGCCTTACCTATAGAGGCTCCATATATAGTACCATTAAGGAATTAGGTCCCTAAAGCCATGATATGGATGGTCTTTTGGGACCTAATTCCATAATGGTACTATATATGGAGCCTCTGGGTTATAGAACTTATAAGTACCCTAAAAGGGACCCTAATTGGGGATATGGTACTTAGAAGTCCCCAAAAGAACCAGTTACTAAGTCCGCCGACCCTCCAAGTAGTTACATCATCTCGGCCTGTCGGCTTCCACCAGGAAGGCCCCGCGCCAACGCGCGCGGCCAGTGTGGAGGGGCCGCCAGGCGCGAGGGCGACGTCAGCTCCATGAGGTATTAGTCTAAGGCTTTAGGGTTTAGGGGTTTAGGGTTTAGGGCTTAGGGTTTAGGGTACTGCAGGGGTTGTACAGGGTTGAAAGGGTTCTACGAATGAATGTGTGATGAGGGTCTTGTTATCAGGTTTGCTGGACTTCAGAAATCTTCTTCCTCTCCAACTGGGTCTTGGAATTGGGATGGTGTGCTGTGCGGTGTAGGTTAAATAGAGGGGCCTGGGTGTGAAGCGGGCGTCAAGCCCTTGTGGAGAAGAGCTCGTCGAATTGTCGGTACTTTCGGCTTAAGGTGCGGTAATATAGGGGCCTGAAGAATTAGAATAGGGATTTGGGCTCCGTTATGATTATGTTATAGTAGGGAAACAAAAGGGCTAACATTGGTGACTATCGATATTGTGAGGTCTAGTGGTGGCGTAGACCGTATGTCCCATCCGTTGCATTGTCTCAAGGTTCCCCACCTGAGAGTGACGGGGTCGAAAAAGCTCTTGCCGGTAGGGCTACTAGCAACCATGAATTCAGGGCTTAGGGTGAATTCAGGGCTTAGGGTTTAGGTTCAGCTTGTACAGAAGCTTGAACCTCTGTGTTGCCGGAATGTGCAAGTTCAGAAAGATTCGACTATTATTATCCGTTCCAAACAACTCGGGCGTTTGGAACTTGACCGCTCTTTGCCATCTAGAGCTTGGTCCGGATATCCCACTGGAGTAAGCAAGGTGAGGTATAGCAACAACGGGACCCAAGAGCTTTCTTCGTCTAAGGGTTCTGTATTGGTATATACCGATGCAATATGAGGCTAGAACAGCAACCCATGCTTAGAACAAAGAAATGCTAAACAAGATTTGTTAAAAAACATTTACACTCCGACAAGCTACAAGTCTGTATACGAAATCCTAAATAAAAACTATTCAAGAAAGTAGTAGTTCACCTACGATTACTACATCAACAACAACAACAACAACAACATCTAAGAATACTAAATATAACAATAATCATTACTATCACTCTGCTGGATTGCATAAAGGTGCATTACATGCCAGCCAGCCACAGAAGAACCACTCAGAGCGGCCCTCAAACAACCTTGAACCCTGGGCCCGAATCCTTAACGCTACACAAGCCCTGATCAATCCGCAACAATCCCCACCCAACACGGCTCGAAGATCCAAAGTGCCTGATCGAATCCAGATGCGCATCAACACAGCCTATTGCTTCAAAAACAAGAACAGGACGTCTCTTGCAGTCCGAAATCCTAAACTAATTGAAGCTTGCGACCTTCAGCACTTACATTAGGGTTTGGGGGGTACAATATAGTATGTGTATTATCAGGAGCGCTACTGAATAGCATTGATAACTTCTCAAGACGCTGCATTGCTCTTAAACCCCAATGGCCACAATTGCTGTGGTTCATAAACATCTGAGCACGGCGCCTAAGCCGGCACCAAGTTCCAGGCACCTCATCGTTGCTATCCGCCGTTCTTACCAAGCGTCGATTCCAACAGCCCCCCCCCTAAACTATCCATAGTGAAGCCTCTACATCACAGCAACAAGGACATGTTTTTTCCGAAAATCAGGGGTACCTCATTCTGGGGTCCTCATAATGAGGATCCTACTATGCAGGGTACTGTATCAGGGTCCCCTATTTTCGGAAACTCCTATATGGCATCGGAGCCTCGGAATCCCTCCCGGGCTTCCATGGTGTTTGGGTTTAGGGTTTAGGGCTTAGGGGAGTCGGGCTTGGGGCTTAGGGTTTATGGTTTTGGGGCTTAGGGTTTAGGCTTTAGGGTTTAGGTTTAGGGCTTAGGGTTTGGGGTTTAGGGTTTAGGTTTAGGGCCTAGGGTTTAGGGTTTAGGGTTTAGCTTGGGGGATTAGGCTTGAAGTCTTATGGAGGTTCTAAATACTGACGATCAGTCGTGTTGAGCCCGAGGGCTACAGCCAGGGGCTTTAACCAATTTAACTGCCATGCCAGGCCCTTGCAAAGCCCATGTAGCCTTGCAATGTACTTGGAGGTTCATGATATAAGTAGGGTTACAAGTAGGATAACTCTACTTATAACCCATATTATTAGGGGACTTATAACACCACTTATAACTACCCATGAACCTCCAAGTGTACTCCCTTTAGTCACACGCATAGAACCCTTGGTTTAACCTCATCCCACCTTGCTCCACGCAACTCTGGACAGCGTCCCTGCGCCACAGCCTTCCAGCAGCGCAGGCCAGGTTTCCACGACGAAGGGCTACTTGGGATTGTACGGATCATGCCATAACAACCCTGTAGACAGCTTTCCCCGAGGCCGCAGCATCAGAACATGTGAAAACCCTGGTCATACTTGGTTTCTTCACATGGGGTTGCAGGCAATCAGAAAACTCTTGTTGAAGAACCCCAACAAGAGACCCCTTTACCTAACTGAAACAACCTCCATGTATCAACACGACATTGGGGTCTCTGGGCCTTGGAGATTGAGGCTTTAAGGTGGTGGCACTCAGGGCTTGACCAGCTGTATGTTCTTCAATTATGTTTTTCCTAACAGAAGATCACAACGGAAATACCTCCGAGACTGTAGGTACGCCTGGTGTTTTGGAGTATTGAACTATTGAACTTAAACCCCTTGCGGCATCTATGCCAGATTTCGTAGTTTCATGCTCCCCCAAAGCGGCACTGAACAAGAACACTGCTACCCTGAAACCAACCTGATGATCAAGCACTTGGACCGTTAGGGCTAAACAAACCCACAAGGGCCCCCAATACACCTCGAGACCCTTGATACACCTCGGGACCTGTAAGGCTTAGAAAACCCACATAAGCCCCAGTAGAGCCCTGGAAAGCAACACAAACAAGCCTACATACCGCATCGCTGAAACCCCGTGGAATACCTAGAATATCCACGATCGTAAACCCTAAACCCCCTCAACCCCCTAAAGCGCTAAACCGGCTAAACCCTCCTTGAACCTCAGAGAACCTACCGTGTTCAGGACCTATACTATACAAGGAAATCATACTAACAGAACCCTAAAGATCATGGGGTCCAGGGAAGCCCTAACCGAGAGACTCCCCTACAGATCCCTTAAAGGAACCCTGGTAGATCCATTAAAGGAACCCTGACCCCTACAGATCCCTTAAAGGAACTCTTGTAGATCCCTTAAAGGAACCTTAGAGGTTCCGTAAAGTTCAGGGAAGCCCTAAATTTAGAAAATTCCACCTCGGCCAACGCCTGGCCAGAGGACCAAACTCGCGCACCCAAGTGGAGGCCGGGAACCTTGAAGATTTCAAACGGCTTTTAATTTTTTATGGGCTGTTTTCCGCCTGCAGGTACAGTTAGAATTCCTATACTAGGAGGAGCCTGTGGTTGGGACCTTTGCAGATGAGTAGTTTTCAAACTGTTTAGGGTTTAGGGTTTAAGGGGGAAATCTTGGGGTCGAGGATAAAGGAAGGACTCTCTTTTAGGTTTGTAGGGTTTAGGGTTGAGGGTTTGTTGTTTTGGGATTTAGGACTTTGCAAAGTTACGGGCCTAGGGTAAAGGGTTGAGGGGCTTAGGGTTGTCAGAGTTTAACAACGACAAGGCTCTGTACGTAAAGGTGGTTTTAAGGGATTCCAAACCTTTTTTGCTACAGCTTCGTGTTCTACATGAAGGGAAGACTCCTAACCCTAAACCGTAAGCCCTCAAGCCCTGAAATAGCTCATATGCTAAGCTCAGGGCCGAACAAAGCTGCAAGGCAGGCGAGCCTTCGCCTGCCGGCTTAGCGCCGCTGGGCTTAAGGTTTAGGCTTTCGGGGCTTAAGGGTCTAAGGGTTTAGGGTTTAGGGGTTTAAGGGTTTAAGGGTTTAAGGGTTTAGGGTTTAGGGGTTTAAGGGTCTAAGGGTTTAGGGTTTAGGGTTTAGGGGTTTAACATTCAGGGTTTAGGGTTTCGGGGCTTAAGGGTCTAAGGGTTTAGGCTTTTCGGGTTTCGAGTTTAAGGCTCTACTGTAGGGTGCCCATGTAGCTTCTGCAGTGTACTCCTCATTCTTGATCACCGATGTGCAAGATGCCCGACAACATGAACTTAACACACAATGCATATCGTAAACCACTAACCCTGAGTTCGGTTTGATATTCCCCGAACCTTCATCTTCAACACCGTAAACCCACATAACGTGGTAATTCTCACCCACCAAGACATCCTGTATCCCCAATGCACAAACCCCCCGCCCCGATATGCGAAACCCGATCAACCCCACGTCCGAAAGCCTGCACCCTCCACTGGCCCCCCAAATCCCCTCAACTAAGATTTAAGGTTTAGGGTTTAGGGGTTTTAGGATTTAGGATTTAGGGTTTAAGGGTTTAGGGTTTAGGGTTTAAGTGTTTAGGGTTCCGGGTTTGGGGTTCCATACATTCTAAAAGACCCGGGCCGACAAGCCTCGACCTGCCTGTAAGCTCCTTTGAAGTCTTGGTTGGCTACCTTATCGGATCCTAAATATGGGTGGTTGTCAAAATTATGGTCCCTTTTTGGGTCCCTGATATAGTACGGCACCCTAATATTTGGGGTACCCGAAAAAGGGACCCTAATTCTTACAACCAACCATATAGATTTGGTTGAACCAAAACAAGGAACTGCAATGCGGACTAGAAGCATCGCGGTCGACACTCTACTTTTTTGGTACAGGAGCAAAATCTCTGTGCTTTTGAGATCACATCAAAACACAAAAACCCTAAATCCTAAACTCTAAACCTTTATTACGAAACGGAACCTAGACCAAGAGCCGGAAACCGTAAAGCACTCTCCGGTGCCTGCAAGGTAAAGCATCTCTGGCCTCTCCCAATTCCTCACGAAGGGGCTTGCGGTCTTTCAGGGCTCGAGGTGTATGGCTGCTGCTTATTGGTGAAAGCTCCCGTCTGGTTGAAAACTGCATGATTTGTAGATTCTAAGGGCTTGCGGCTGACTAGGGCTCGGAGGATCTTGATGAAAGGGTTTCTCGGATGGCGAGAAGTTGCACTTCTTCAGTTTCCACCCGGAATCACCTTCTTTATGATGTTGGAAGCAATGTTTCTAGCACCCAAGCTTTTGTCTGACTTTGAAACGTAAACCCTGCTCTTGATAAGCCGTGCCGAAAGAAGGACAGATCGCAATTCCACTCAAACACACAGACACACACACACCCTATAATCCTTGCAATCCCTGGACACTGAACCCCAAAGGGCCAAGAGCGCCAAACCGAAATCCCCGAAAGGGCCTTTCGGCCTCTCTAGCCACGCGCTGCTCGCGCAAGGCCTTCCTGAGTTGACATCGGCGAGTTTTAGCTTTGAAGCTGCTTATAACAAAGGCAAAAAAGTAGTATAAGGGTTCCTCTAAAGGGCACCGAGTACTAAGCGTACTCTACGTGCAACCTGTCCGATAAATCCAATCTAAACCCCAAAGCCCCTCAAAGATCCTTCTAGTACCCCTTGATGGAACACGTCAAGTACAAAAGGGCTGGGTTCCGGGTAAAAGATGTAACAGTAAGCCACAAGCATTCCGTCCTGAAACGTAAAGGGTGCAATGTTGTTAAATTGAACGCACATTGAACCCTGCACGTTACCTAAACGTCTACGCCAACCGGTTCGCCGGGCTCCGCACAGAGTGGCATTAACGGCCACGTAGCCATCGCAAGCTGTCGTATTGCCCGCTTCCATGCCCTTTGCCACCGACGAAGTAGGTTGATGACCCGATTCGGAATGGGCTCCAAATGAGTGGCCAAAGTTCAACATCATGATGTCATCAATGCTATAGTTATATGGAGCCATGGCAAGTACGCGAACTAAACAACATCAGAGCAGTGAAACCTCTGTGCTCAGAAAAGTCACGACGACTGAGAATCCACACGATTTACAAGCCGCAGGCGAGCAGATTAAGTTGGCAAGAACCCGTTCGGCCCAACCTACAAGTCAGCAGCGATAAGAAACAAAGTCGGGTCGGCACCCAAAGCTGCCGGCATAAAGAGGCCCCTACGTCCAAAGCTGCCGTCCTCATTATAAGGGAGGCCACCAGCAAAAGCCAGTTTCGAGCGTTTCAAAAAAACAGCGCGCAAAACAGGGCCTCGGATCTGTTCCAACTTGAACCTGTTGCCACTTGTGTGTGTCCTGTCTTTTTTGTTGTTTTCCGGACCCGGAATATGCCGTTCTAAAGACCTTCGAAACTGTTGCAAGGTGGGAAGCCCTGGGCGGAGGCTTTCAAGCCAGCATCAAACTGTGCTTTGGGAATCTGGCGCAACTGAAAGCATGTTGGGAACCTGGCGGCAACTGAAAGCACGAGACGCCTTTTCGGTGGTTCTTGAGAACTTGGCAGCTCTTGAAAGCACCACACGTTTTCTTGGTGCTCTCGCAGCAAAATCAAAGCAACAAACATGGTTTTGGGAACCTGGCAGCAAGTGAAAGCAGTAGACGCACGCCTTTTTGAAGGGTTATTGCCGCAAAGTCAAATCATCAAACTGGGTTTTGGGAAACTGGCAGCAACTGAAAGCATCAAACGATTTTTTGGGCTCTCGCAGCAAAATTAAAGCATCAGATGAATCAGATGTAAGTAAAAAGATGCGCACGCTTTTGCAAATGTTGTACTATGTTGTACTGAAGAACCACATTTTTCTTTGGCATGGGGTGGTTGGTGGCGGCAGCAGCCGCACTCGATCCAAGCTGAAAAAGAAAGAACAAAAGTCCAGCAACAAGCTTGCACCGGTATAAGAGGACGAAGACTGCACGCTTTTCAGCAATGGAGCAAGAGATCGACAGTGAGGCTGGTCCTCTCCCCCCCCGGGGTTTAACCCAGGTTTGAACCTGGGTTTGAACCTGGGTTCCCTCCCCTGGTGGGAACAACAACAACAACCCACGGAACCCAGGTTTGAGACCTGGGTTTAACCTGGGTTTGAACCTGGGTTTGAACCTGGGTTAAACCTCGAACCTGGGTTCAACCCCGAGTTAAACCCAGCCTTAAACCCTGGTTATAACCCAGATTTGAAGCCAGGTTTGAAACCCAGGTTTGGAACCCGGGCTCAATGAACCTAGGTTCAATCCAGATTAAAACCCAGGTTAAACCCAGGTTCCAAACCCAGGTTCCAAACCCAGGTTTGAAACCCAGGTTCTAACCCAGGTTTGGAACCCAAGTTTAAGCACCCAGGTTTGATCCTAGGGTTGGAAAGGCTCAAAGGAGGCTGAGGAAAAGACCTAAAGGAGGATCTTCTTCGACACGAAAGAAGACATCCACAGCCGCCTAAACCGTGAACCCAAAGCAAAAAAAATTTAAAAAGAACAGAGATCAAAAGCAAGGAAATAAATGCCGCGTCTTCTTCAACACAAAACACGAAATCGCTTGAAGAGATCATTTTTTTTGGCTTGACTGGGCCTCGTCGACGACGGCTGTAACACTCGGTCCCTACAAACAAGCGAAACTAACACAAACTACAAACAGACAAAGCGGTGAGACACCTGCCTTTGCGGCTGACCCAGTGTTCCAACTCACCGCTTGCGACATTGATCCGCTTCTGCTGGAGGCGGCGTCCTTGTGCACCAGAGCGGACTGCGCAACTTGTCACTGGTTGGACTTTGGCAGGTTGCCCAGGTGGGTGTAGCCACACTTGTTGCCAGTGTTACGTTAGAGCGCCGTCTTTGTGCTTGGCACGCCTTGAGACTTGATGGCGGTTGCATGAGCGGGTCTCTTGCCTGCGACACTGGTCTTCGCACTCCTTCTTCCCGCTCACACTGCAGTGGGCCATGGTTTTTTGGATTATGGTGAACGATCGTGATGCTACAAAACACAGGGGTTGACCGTTGTCTGGCAAGACTAGAACGGCAACCGGAGCTTGGACTTGAGTTTGGTGCTGAACGGCTAACACCGGCAAAGTCTGTGCGCCGCAGCCCTTTGTAGAGCTTCGCTTTGCCGTGCAGATCACCACGGCATCGCCGAACGGCAGTGGCGGCAATGACAAGGAAAACACCATTTCGGCGGTGGGAGTAAACCGATGGACAGGTGAAGGGGCGAGCGGTGGGGACCGGCAGGTGGCAAATTAGGAGCAATCGCTTCCGCTCGAAACGTGCACACGACAGTCGAGATTCGAGCACTAGGCGGCATGAGTGACAAGAGAAAGACTCAACGACGTATGTCGTGACACAAGAGCAAAAGGTGAGTTGCCATGCGATTCAGTGCCCAGCTTCCCTCACAGGGTCTCGCAAGGGCAAATAGAGAAGAAGCACCACAAGAGTGCAACTCCTCCACATCTCAATTCAATAAGGTATCAGAGACCGCAAGCGCGTTATGGGGAGTGCTTGCATCGGTTCCAAGTTGAAAGAAGGCATAGTGCGCAAGTTAGACCAACCCAAGGTCCACGGCTGCTTACCATCCACTGCATCATCGATGGCCGATGCACGCAGAAAGTCAGGAATAACGCGCGGATCTGCTGGTGGCGGCGCTTGCCTGCACAGGTGAGTGGCCGCAGCTCCCGCCTCTGCGCGACGCTTGCCTGCACAGGTGAGCGTTTGCCTGGGCCTGCCCTAAACCTTAAACCCTAAATTCAATTCCCTAAACCGAAACCCTGAACCTAAACCTTAAATTCAAAACCTTAAACCTAAACCCTAAACCTAAACCCTAAATTCAAAACCTTAAACCTAAACCCTAAACCTAAACCCTACATTCAAAACCTGAGACCTAAACCCTAAACCCTAAATTCAAAACCTGAGACCTAAACCCTAAACCCTAAATTCAAAACCTTAGACCTAAACCCTTAACCTAAACCCTATATTCAAAACCCGAAACCTAAACCATAAATTCAAAACCCGAAACCTAAACCCAATATTCAAAACCCACTACAAGGCACTACAAGGCCGTGGGACAAACGAAGGCTTCAGGCACTCACGCCTTGGCATTCCGCAGCTTCTGCTTGCACCAAAACAAAAAAATCTGACTTTTCATTGCATCAAAATAAAAACATCTGACTGCTTTCCGAGTTGATCTCGCCGCAAAGCGCCATCCAAGTACTTATTACAAGCGTGAAAACAACTTCGTTGGCAAACTTCCGCATGCGACATGAAAGCACTACAAGGCACTACAAGGCCGTGGGACAAACGAAGGCTTCAGGCACTCACGCCTTGGCATTCCGCAGCTTCTGCTTGCACCAAAATAAAAAAATCTGACTTTTCATTGCATCAAAATAAAAACATCTGACTGCTTTCCGAGTTGATCTCGCCGCAAAGCGCCATCCAAGTACTTACGACATTGACCCAGCCCAATAACACAGCGTTCCAAATCATCCCGCAGCCGTAAACTAGGGTATCAAATTCCGCACTTTCTCCTATCCGTCAAAGCACATGTCCAAAATCATTCAACACACAAAACAATCGGCTCCGAACAAACACTTTCGGACCGATCTGCTCTTAAAGCAGGCGCAGGTGGAACATCTTTTGTGCGGGCCGCGAAGCGGGAGTCAGCTGTGGTAGGATCAAGGCGAAGGAGTACGCATTTTTTTGCGAAACTCGTCGGTTCGCCTGTCCCGCCGTGGACGCCTGGCTTTGAGAGTCTTGGGGCCCCTTGCAATGGGGTGGAGATTCAAGCCGCCTAACACGGATTTGTAAAAGAAAGCCTGCTCGCTGCAGCTACTGTGCACAAAATGTGGATGTTCATCCACGACACGGCCCGTGCTAAGCACATACATCACAGTGTACTTGTACAACAATTTTTTATGCATGGAAAAGGACCACTGCCTTGGGTTTCCCAAAGCAGTGCGAAAAGCAGCTTCACCATCTTCATACAAAGAACAAAGTGCCAAGTCCAACCGCTGCACCATGTCCGTTTTCTTGTTCTTGGCATACTCCAGTTTGTACTTTGGCATAACGATGACTGAAGTAATGTCCACCGTCCGACAGTCCACCCTGATGCGGCCCGCAGTCTCGTACTTGAGAAAGGTGTTTGCGTCACCTTGCAGCATACACTACTTCACTGTTTTAACCAAGCACCAACACTGCTTTTGGGAACACTACACTCACTACACATGCCGCATGCCTTCCTTATCTCGCCACTGCTGCATCAAGTCCAATGTGAGCCGGTGGGATTGGATTCCTTCATCATCTTGCTCGGACTTTAACCTTTTCGCACTGTACGCAAGTGACTCAGGAGGCTCCTCGATTTGAAAGCATGCTTTGGCATACTGTCCTCCGCGCACCAGAGTCTGCAGGGTCACTGCTGTTTCACGCACCAATTGGCTGACATCCTGGTGTCGGAAGCCTTTCTTGAAAAGACCTTTGATCGAACGCCAAGCCCGCTCTTGGGAATTCGACACATAAGTACCGTAACCCGGGCACACTTGACCGAGACCACTCTGCCAATCTGCGCTCCACCACAAGCCTTTCTTCTGCAAGACCCACTTCTCCAAGTAATCCGCGAATTTCTCCTCAAGCAAACCTACAAGCTCCGCTGCGCTACCCCAAGGCAGCTTTCCCAGCAGCAGCCTTCTGGTCTATCAACCCAGTGCTATCAAGATCGAAAAACATAGTCTATAACGCCAGCTCAAAAGATCGAAGAAACTAGTCGATCAACCCAGCTACCAAGATCGAAGAAAATAGTCTATGAAGCGAGCTCAGGAATCCACTTTACACACACACACACACACACAAACTGCGCTGTCCTGATTCCAGTCTTCGGGGTCACGCAGCCTTCGCAACGTGTCTTCCCAGATGACATGGAACTGTAGTGGATGTGCGATTTTCGCGCTGAACTGAATGATTTCCGCTATCTCCAATGTCAACTCTGAGTCAACTTTCTTCTTGCTCCCGGTGCGCTTGACGTCTTTCTTTATGTGTTCTAAGTCCCGGTGCAAAGTAGCGTCTGGAAAGCATGCACTTGTGGCATTGATGGCACCGCCTGCACCATCCATGACCACATTCGTCACCAGTTTCTGCCAATCCAAACCCGAAGCTTCCAATAGCTTCTGGAAAGATCCACATAAGAGGGCATAACACGGTTCGTCTTCCTTGTCACACACAGCACAAACTACCGGCCAGAATCGATTGCGCACCACTCCGCCAACCTGGTGCAAGATGACCAGTCCGAGGCTAGCTAACACAAGATCCTGCACATTGGTCTTGAATGTGCCATCCATGACGAGCACACACCGATCCTGTGTGCGAAGGTAGGCAATCACGGCGTCCAAATTCTCTTGCTCGTAGAACAAGACCCGAACCGTTTCTTCTGAAACCAGAGGTGTCTCTTCCGTGTGAAGCACCACGACAGGCGAGGGTGGGTTTTGGCAAAAAGCTGCAAATGTGGAAACGAACTTGCCGTCATAGGATTTGCCCTCTTCCAAATGTCGGTGTCTGACACCATCTAAAGCTCGATCACTTGGAATGTGTTCCTTCGGAATTCCCAGCTCTGTCATAGCCTTCTTCGCCTGTTTTGCTGGAAGGTGGCGTCCAAACTGGTGCTTATTCAGATGCTGCTCGACCTCTGCAATGACCTTCCCGTCGTGCTTGCGACCCTCCCGAACAGATCTTTCAACACGCAAGTAAAAAACTTCCTCATCCAAATCAAGCAAGTCTGGTGGAAGTGCAGAACCTTAGCACTCTCGGACATCGCTTCACAAGAATTTTGAAACCGATTTCCCAAACAACAACAAAGCTATTTTGCCAAACTGCCTTCTTCTTTGTTGCTCACCAAGGAAAACCGGAACTTCATGGAGCATGCTTCGTGCCTGTGACAGTAACCAATCTGCGTCGTCTTCTTCTTCAATTGAGAAGATACGAAGCGAAGCTTGGCTTCCTTTTCCTTTTCGCTCCACCTCTTACAGCAATCCAACAATCCTTCGCGTGGTTGTACTGGCAGCAACGAATCGAAGTACCAAACTTGCTCTTGTTTTGGAGGCATGGCGGATTGACTCACTGCGCTTTCCGTCTTAAAAAGGCTGAGTCATGTCAAGCCATCAAAGAGCATGTCATGCCAACATTCCCGACATCCATGTCTTGATCTTCAGCCCCAGCACGTTGTAGGGAAGTTCACTAACCTTTGCTTTCATCACGATCACTTGATGTCGGTTGAAACAAAGAAGAAGGACAACAACAACAAGAACCAAAATGAGGACAACCAACAACAACAAAGCAATTCAACAAATGTAGCCAAAACATGTAAGTTTTTGGAAATCCAACACAGCAAGAACTTTGTGAAAGTGAAACCAGTTCATAGAGTCCCATCCTTTGAGAGAGCACTGTTTTAACCCCTTGTGCACGGGCCCTGGCAATAAAACCCGAAAACTGGAAAAGTTTGGCACCTGTTGACAGTTCTATTAGAACTCGCGTCAACAGTTCCAAAGCAGTCGGCAGGTGCAGAACCAGCTCGTTTTGTTCTGAGCAAATTTTGGTTCTTTAATCTGCACAATTTCCTTTTCTAACCTTACATCTGCAATATTTCTGCTTGAAGGTTCTGATTTTGCGGCGGACAGCACCTTCCAACTCTTAGCCCTCCAGATACTGCCGCCCAAGGCTCCACCTGGCATAGTGCCCGAATAGCGCTGCAGGAAGTATTGGAGAGTGATCTGCGGGACAGAGTTTGGAATGCAAAAGAGGGAGAGGATCTGCAGAGTTTAGGGCAGAATCTGCAAGGCAGAATTTGGGAAAGGGTCCGCAAGCAAGCGTTTGGAGAAGCATACACGAAAAACATAAGGGGTGGCATGTGCAAAAAATTGTAAGGTAGTCTATCTACAAGTTTTACGGGGGTCTTGGCCATGCAAGGGTTTAGGAGAACTAGTAGGACTTCGGAGAGGATCTATAACGAGACTTTATGAAGTTATGGTTTTTATCGAGTGCAGTAGTGGTCAGTCATTGACAGTCTTCTTGTTTGTCCCTCCCGCCCCCTGAATTTTCAATGTGTGCCGCAATGTGTGCCACAATGCTCATTGGGCGCTTCTATGTAAACATTGAATTGGAGGGAAGCGAGGGGTCTGAAGGTTTCAAGATTTGTGGACAAACAATTCCAAAATTGTACTATCGCGCGAGGCCATTTTCAGTGTTCGAAAAACCACGAAAACGGTACTTCCACAGTCAGTTGCCGCCTTGCTTGCCATGCTGTGGTATTTATGACAAGTAGTTGTCATGACATCATGGTCAACAGTCTCAAGCTGACCACACACAGACCCCGCGCATAGCTACAAGGTTGTTTTTCGAGCAAAAGTTCCAATCCAAATAATAGCGAAAGGGGGCTTATGGGGGTATTTTTAGAACTCCGAAAAGCGCGAAACGTTTCATCGAAAACGGCCTCTTCGAGCACTGAGGCGGAAAAACTTCGAGGCCGAAAGGAGTTCTTCAGGGTCGAAATCGCGATACGTTTCATCGAAAACGGCCTCTTCGAGCTCTGAGGCGAAAACGTAGAGGGGCAAAAGGAGTTCTTCAGATTCGAAATCGCGATACGTTTCACCGAAAACGGCCTCTTCGAGCTCTGTGGCGGAAAAACGTAAAGGCCGAAAGTTGTTCTTCAGGGTCGAAATCGCGATACGTTTCATCGAAAACGGCCTCTTCGAGCTCTGAGGCGAAAACGTAGAGGGGCAAAAGGAATTCTTCAGGTATGTTTTGTCGAGAAATGCAATCGAAAACAGCCTCTTCGACCAAGGGCTGAATTCCGACTTTGCTCAAAAGTCTTTACATCGAGGTAAGTTTTCGACTTTTTTCATCACAAACAGCAATAACGTTTCAATAAGGATTCAATAATGACTCATAATGATTCAATAATGACGCATTAATGACTCAAGAATGACTCGATAATGACGCTATAATGCTGCTATGATGCTTAAAGACTCGACAAAGACTCCACAGGTCACTACGCTCACTACGTGGTCACCACGCTATCGCAACAAAATACTTGAGCAATCCAACTCGCTCATTTCTCCAACGAGACCCGCGAAATCAGTCCGCATCGTCGGGATCAGACCTGATGCAAAAAGAAACAGCTCTTAAAACAGAATGGCTGAAGCCGATAGAAGACGTGAAATCATCAGGCAGGTCTACACGAACCCTAGGACGGGCTTCGGCAACCTAGATCAAACTCTGCGGCAGGCTAGAGCTCGCGATCAAACAATCAGCCGAGGCGACGTGCGCCTGTTCCTTAACAGCCTCAGCGTGCGTCAAGACAGACCCGAAAGAGGGCACAACGGTTTCGTGCCTCCAGAGCCGATGTTCCAGCTGCAAGTGGACCTCGCTGACATGACAGCTTTCGCCCAAGGTCCGTACAAGTACATGCTCGTCGCGATCGACACTTTCAGCAAGAAGCTAACAGCAGTACCAATGGCCAACAAAGACGCCGCCACAGCATCCAGAGCATGGGATAAAGTTGTCAAGGATCTCGGCATACCGCTAACGGTTTACAGCGACGATGGCAGCGAGTTTAAGCGCGAATTCAAGCAGAAGTTGGACCACTTCGACATCGACAAAGTGGTGACTTGGGGCCACGCCACGGTGGCCGAACGAGCCATCAGGACCCTCAAAGAAGCACTCATCCACAGGCTTTCGGAAGGAGTGGGGAGAAGGAATCAATGGCATCGACTGCTACCCGACATCCTAGCGCAGTACAACGAAAACCCCCACTATGACGATCATGAAACCGCAGACAAGGCCTTGACCAGGATGAAGCGCAACGTCAGGATGAATGCCGGAGCGAGGCCTCAAATAGCGGTGGGAGATTTGGTTCGGGTTAGGGTTAAACCTATCGAGAGTAGGGGCACTTACAGAGTTACGGAAGTAAGCCTGGAGCGAACGTGTCAACACAGTCGCCAGAATCGAAAACACAGACGGCAGACCCTACTTCTTCCTCGAGGGCTGGACCGGACATAAGCTCGTGCGATGAGACTTGAGGAAGGTGGACTCCGAGGATCAAAGACGCAGATTCTCCACGCAGTCGAGAGAGCAGCGGAAGACAAGCAGCCTAAAACCGCAGACTACCTGCCCCAGGTCCTATCGCTCCACCTGATTGCAAACTCAGTGCCGAGTCTCAAAGCGATGCGCAAGAAGTCGAGAACACCTGCCAATGCGAAACAGCTCCGACATGCTCACAACAGAAAGAAACGTCGTCGTTAGCTTGATAAACCTGGTCTTGTCGTCTATTCTCCAAGAAAAAGCTTGCATAAAGCATCAGCCTTTCAACCGCTGTGCCGCGTGGTGAGTTGCTCGCATAAAGCATCAGCCTGTCGAACCGCTGTGCCGTGTGGTGAGTTCTCCGACGACTGCTCGGAAACTCCTGTACTGTACAACTAAAACTCTTCAGCACGACCGGAGGTGACTGGTGTTGAACAGCTTGCCCACGAACTGCCCATTGCTCGCCCTCTCGCGATGCAAGAAGCCGACCTCGCCATACGCGAAGCCCGAGGATGTGGTTCATCAGGTCGAAGGCCGCCACATCGGACCGCTCCTCGAAGCCACGTGCCCCTCTCTGCAGCGCCGCCGAGCACGCGGCCCAGACCTCGTTGTTCTTGAAGTGCCCGAGCGGCTGGAGTGATGCGCATCGAGCTGCCATGCCTTCGTGTTCAAACGCCGTGAGGCCGCGCTTGTGGATCTCCACGACCTCGTTCACATGATGACGGCAGCCCAAGCGGCGGAACTCCACCTTGTGCTCCGCTCTCCCAGATGGCCCGGTTGAGCGTGGTCCAGCTTCTTGCGCTCGCTCTTCGGAACGCCCTGGCCGGCTCCTTGCTCTCGCTCTTTGTCTTGCTAAGCGAGTACATCTTCGGCGCCAAGCCGACCCACTCGACGTAGAAGTGAGGAGCCAACTCGTCCGAGAAGTTGCCGAGCTCGCCAGCGCGGCGAAGTGCGACTTGCACAGCGCCAGGTGCTCCTTCAGGGCGGCGTTCTTCGCAGGAGAAAGGAGCGGCGCTCGCAAACGCGAGTGGCCCTGAAGTTCTCCTGGTTCTGCACCATCTTGCCGTACTGGACGTTGCCCGTGACTTCTGAACTTGTGAGCGTCAAAGACCCGAACGCCGAGGTGCTCCACGATGAACTTGAGGCACCGACGGCGGTCAGTGGGTCGAGATGCCCGCGTCCAAGAAGGAGAGGCTGTGCGCTCTTCGAGCAGGTGGACTACGGAGGAGGTTTGCTTCATGATCGAGGCGAGCTTCGATGTGCCGTGTTTCGCCACTCTTGCGTGGATTGGGCTCCCGTTTGCAAGATGTCGGTGACGAGGTCGCAACTCAGCCCTTACACCCAGTCCCTCATCCAGGACGGTCAAGTTGTTTCGGCGACGCCAAAGCTTGTATTTACCATGATGGAAGAGTACATGCTGTTCACGTCGCAGAACAGAATCCACGACTGCTCTCGAGCGGGATCGAAGTCGGGCAACATGGGGTTGTTGGCCGCCGCAAACGGCTGAGCGATGTCCCGAGGCCTCCTCTGATGTTCGCCTTGGTCAGCTCGTACACCCTCCGATCGGTCATGAGCCCGAGACCGAGATCCCGACAAGGACAGCACTTGCGTAGCATGGCGTCATGACTCGCCGATGCGTGCGTGATGTACTGGCAGGGGTCGAGGTGGAAGTTGTCCCAAAACGTGTCTGCGCTCCATCACATCTCCCAGCGCAAGGTCTGTGCGCAAATACGTGTCATAAAATGCGCCAAAGCTCTCGAAGGCGAAGAACTCGACGATCTGCTTGACGGTCTCGTATTTCTCCTCGGAGCACGCCTCGCCGGTGAGCGTGTTGTCGTGGGCCTCGCGAGGAAGCAAAGCCGGCCACGACCAGCAAGTCGGATCACAAGCTACTGTCTAGGCATGTTTCACCAAGCACCGTGTCTGCCAAACACTGATATGCACCCACTCGAAGAGAGCCAGAAGAGGGGTAGTGTGGACTAGCCTGCTCGTGGCTCGAGCAACATGTCAGCGGTAGCCTAGTGTGGG